AGCTCTTATTCATCTGAATCTAATGATGATGAGATGTCCTAGGAGACTCTCTTAGCAAACTCTCACATGATCTCTCTTGAATAAAAGAAACTTAAAGAAAAATAAACAAATCTTAGAAAAAAAATATTGAACTCAAGGAGAAAATGTTAAACGCTATAGGAGAGATAAAGTCTCTCAAGGACAAGATCACTAGCTTCATATCACTTGAGGTTACAACATTAGAAGTTGAAAACTACAATTCAAGAAAGACTTAGCCAAGTTTGTTGATGGATCTTCTAAGTTAAACATAATTCTAAAGCATAAAAGACTTTTGTTTGACAAAAATGGTCTTGGCTTTGACCTTAGTTTAGGGACACCTCAAGCCAAACCCAAGGTCTCTCTTCATAAAGCCAATGGAAATGGAGATAAAGCTCTAGGCAGACGAAAGAATAAGACCAAGGGCATGGAGACTAACAAAAAAGGACCCAAGAAAATTTGGGTACCAAAATCTCAAATAATCTTTATTGTATATATCCTTAATGGGAAGAAGAAAAGATTCACACTAGTACCTAGACAATGTCTACTCATGACATATGATGGGAGAAAGATCTATGTTTCTAGGCCTCCAACCACATAAAGGATTAGTTTCCTTTGGAAGTGAAAAAGGCAAAATCAAAGGTATACGTAAGATAGGTAAAGACTATACTGTATAAATTTGTGCCCATTCTCTCGCCCCTTATCTTTTTTCTTGTTTTATTTGGTTTATTGCATTCAATATTATATTATTGCATATTATGATTCATAAAAAGTAAACTCAAAAATTGTTTCAATAAAAAAAACTACTTTATAACATAACTAATTCATATATAGATGACTTTTCTTTTAAGAATCCAAGCTACCTTGACCATCTTCCGAACTTCTCCAGAATTTACGGATCAAACGCAGTAGGGGCGAACTGCTCTACATTCAGCCACGCCACAGTGACCCCCGAAGCGATCTTCTTATAGTTGCGGGACGAAATCCGGCAGCCAATTGCAGGCTCTTAATAACCAGCCCGGTAATAACTTCCATTCTTCCATAACATAACGAGGCGGGGTTGCGCGCGAGCCGAGTGACGGAGGTGCACAAGAGTACTTCGCGCCACAACCATCTCTTTTTTAGAAGTTCTACGGACCGATGCCTGCTGCTTCATCTGGGAGAAAAGAATCATAGATATGCCGGTCATTAGAAGGAAGAACCGCCATAAAAAGATTCCTCGTGTATTGATTTAAAAAGGAACAATTTTTAAAGGGAAACAATCCAACCCCCCTTCTTGTATTATAGCATTCATTTCAATACTGAATCTTTGTAGTTTAAGTGTCAAAATATGAGAAATCAAATGTTGTTAAAGTTGTTTCATGGTCCAAGTGGTTATTATTAGATATGAAAATAGGTCAAGCCTTAAATGAGAGACTATGATTTGGCCTAACTTGACCTATTTAATAAAAAATCCAAGTTTGGACTTTTAACAAAACCTTTTTATTTAAAAAGACTACGTTTAAGCTTATAAAAAAGTCTTTTAAACCTTATAGGTTAACCTATTTATGTATATAATATCATACAATTTTTAATATACATATTACACCATTAATAATATACTTAATTAAATAAATTTATAATATAAAAATTAAATTATTAATATTATTAATAACTAGTAAAATAAAGGCAATTCGTGCCTATGGATGTTGTGCATGTGGAACTTACAAAATTGCAATGGAGTTGTAGTTTACTAAAGAAAAAATTGTTTTAGATAAATAATGTATTTTTATTTAAATTAATAAAATAAAATTATTTAATTGTCCTATCCTAAAAGAAGAGGTGTACGGTTACCAAAATAAATAAAATGTAAAAATATTTTAACAATATGTACACAAAAATATTACATCACCTTCATATATTGTAATAAATTTAATATATATATATATATATATATAGTTTGTATATATTTATTTATTTATTTATTAGTAGCCTAACATTCTTTTAATATATTGTATTTTACTATAATATTTTGTTCTTTTTAATTCTTTTAAAAATAAATTTAAGTACTAAATCATTATTTTTACCATGAAAATTAAAAAAAAAAACTCATTGACCTATTTAAAAGAAAGTTTTTTTTGCCAGCTATCCCACCCTTTGAGGTGCTTCTAATATAGCTAGGAGATTAGTCACCGCTATCGGCGGTGGATACTCCAGGGACGAACAAAAAAAAAGAAAGTTTGCTGTCTTATTTAACAATATTAACATAAAATAAGTTTTTAAACAGATTAATAAGTCAAACATGGTCAGACTTTTAAAGAGGTCAGATTATACCTTTTTAAAATAAATGACTTAGATTAAAGTAGTACAAATTAAGTTATCACGAATTATTGTCATCTTAGTTTCATCTATCATTGTTATTGTCATCACTGCTATTGTAGTCATTGCTACCATCACCACCATCGTTATCGCGATAGCTCTATCATTATCATTGTTACCACTACCATTGAAATTAAACTATTTATTATTTTTAATTATTATTTTATTTTTTTCCTTATTATTTATCAAGTAGTGTCAATTAGGGATGATAATGATTATGTAAGGCTTTGAATATATAAGCTGAGTCTATTCTGCAAAATTAAAGCATAAGCTTAACTTATTATTAATCATAGACTTTTTTTTATAAGTCTGACTTGGCCTTTTTAAAGCATGACCTAGACTATTAGCCTATTTAAAAATCTATTTAAATTATTAATGTTAATTAGGTCAATAAATTAAATTTTAAAAGAAATATAGGAGAAAAAATAAATCATTTTCTATTGAAGGGACAATTCATGCGTAGCCATGCATATTGATGTACACTCTTATACAGGTCATAAACTTATAAACCTACAATGAAAAAAATAATTGTATAAAAAATATTTTAAATATTGATAATTTATTTTTGTCTTATAAATTTATTTGTTTATTTATATTTTTAATAATTATATTAATTTTTATTATTTTATATAAATAAATAGGCTGACCTATTAGGTCTAATAAACTTTTTCTATAAGGCTAAACTTAATCTTTTTGTATGAATATACTTTTTTAAAAGTCTAAACTTGGTCTTTTTATTAAATATGTCAAGTCATATTATATTTTAAAGATGTCAGATTATAGACCTCTGTTGAAGGCCTAACCTATTTCCATCCTTAAGTTTCACTCATGTGTTTTCGTCTTTATTTTTTTTATTTTTTATTAATTTTGGATGATATGTTAATGATTTTTTTTTTGGTGAATAATGGTATGGTATGTTAATGATGACCTAACATTACTTAAATTTAATGAAAATAACTTGATTGAAAGACATAAACCCCAACCATGCCAACAATAAGGGTAATTAAACTCTTTCTTAACACTAAGTTTTAATATTATCGCTAGTATAATTATCATGGACTTTCAATGTTTAAATTTAAACATAACTAGTTAAAAATCATTTTTAAAATAACTTAAAATTGCAAAACTTAAATATGTTTTAAGTTCTTTAATTTTAAGATAAATTTAGTTTTAACCCCTCAAATTAAAAATTGAATGTTTTAGTCTTATAATTTAAAAAAAAAAATCTTGTTTTAGTCTTATACTCAAAATTTGTTAGAAAATTTGTCAATTACTTTTACTTAAAATCTATCTAGTAGTGTTTTTGTAGTGAAAATATTGTATTAAATCTAACTAATATTACATAATTATCTCATTCTATCACTTTTATATGATATTGATGACATAAGAAATTAAAACAAGATTTTTAAAAATTTTAAAAATTAAAACAAAAAATTTGAAGAAAAAAAAATTACCCTAAATTTAACCAAAAATTGAAATTTTACATGTTAATAAAATTATAAAAAAAATATAATTAAATCATATTAGCTGTATGAGAAACTTATTTTTAACTAAATTGTGTTGTCCGATGGTGATTCGAAAATGGAGTTGGAATTTGGAAATTTAAGAGAAACTCCAATGGGAGTTGCTTGGTTCCTTAAGCAACTCTAACATGAGTTTCTTACCATTAGAGAAGGCTGAGGTGACAGCAAGAGTTTCTTGCAGAGGAGAGAGGGTTGCTTCACTAAGCAACGGTTGCTTATTTTTGTAAACTGAAGGAGGCGCGGCGGAGGACGGCGGAGGCGCGCGGTTGGATGGCGACGTGCGGGTGGACAGCGGAGGTGCGCCGGTGGATAGCGGAGGTGGACATTCTGCCGCGGGTGGACAGCGGAGGCGCGCCGGTGAACGTTCTGGGTGGACCTGCGCGGCGGCGATGGCAGTAGGGGCAGCGACGGTGGTAGACGGTGTTTGAAACTCCACCGAAAGAAAAGGAAAGGGGGAGAAAAAATGAAAAATTCCTTTACGGAAGAGAAGAAGATGCGTGAAGAAGATGAAAAAGAGGGTTTAAAGAAATAACAAATAAAAATTAAAAAATTAAAAAATTAAAAAATTAAAAAATTAAAAAATTAATTTTGTATAATGTTTATATATTTATTATTGCTTTATTTTATTTTTAATATCTATTTATTGTATATTTTTTCTCATAATTTATTTTCTTTTATTTAATGCAATTGTTCTTTTTAATTCAAATTTTAATTTGGTTCATAAATGATTTGAAAAAAAATTCTAAAAGCTGAATTTCTTAAAGTTTTTTACCATTGGAGTAAATTTCTGTTTGAGTTGCTTAATGCTGACATGGCACACTAGGAATCACTTTTTTCAGTTTCCAATGCATGAAGCAACTCAAATGAGTTGCTTCCATTGGAGATGCCCTAAGAGCATCTACAATGGAGTTGCTTATAAGCAACCCTCTATGCCACATCACTGCCACATTAACTCTGGCCTATTTTATGAGTTGCTTAAATTTTAGCAAAGTTACTTCTACAAGTAACAATTTAAGCCACTCATAAAATATGTCAAAGCGGATATGACAGTGATGTGGCATAGGAAATTGTTTATAAGCAGCCTCCGTTGCAGGTGCTCTAAGAGGTGCGTGCAGGCACGGAATCGCATAGAGATTGGAGCTGTTTTCCCCGCCTAAGAAATGCCAACACTCGTTTTTGTACTTTAATTAACAATCAATTTCAAGTTTCAACGCAATCAAAACAACAAAATCCCCAATTCTTGAACACTCTCGAGACATGGCAGTTTCAGCTTCAGGGGGTGAGATATGGAAGGCCCACACCGCCATGGCAATGGTGCAGTTATTCAACGGAGGCTACCACGTCATCACCAAATTGGCCCTCAACGTTGGAGTCAACCAAATCGTCTTCTGCGTCTTCCGCGATCTCATTGCCCTCGCCATTCTCGCTCCCCTCGCTTTCGTTCGTGAAAGGTACCTCGGATTTCGTTTATTCCCAATGCATCGGTTTCTTAACCGTGTCTTGTTTGCAGGCGCACGCGACCACCTTTGACCAAACGCCTTTTGCTGTCATTCTTCTTTCTTGGATTAACCGGGTGAGGTTCTGGTCTGGTGATATGGTCACGTTTTTTCTGTGCTTGTTGTGGTTGTTTTATTTATGCAATGCTGTTTTGGCTGCTGCTTCTTCGTTCATGCTCAGGATTTTTGGCAACCATCTTTTGTTTCTTATTGGCTTAAGCTATACTAATCCAACTTATGCTGCTGCAATTCAGCCGGCCACTCCAGTTTTTACTTTTCTGATGGCGGTAATCATGGGGTCAGTTTCTGTCTCCTTTCGATTTGTGCATTGGTTGGATTGAGATGTACCTTATTCGTGCAATTTGACGTAGAGTAATGTGCGCCTTGATGAACTTATTCGTGCAGTACAGAAAGAGTGAACTTACTAAGATATGAAGGTCTGGCTAAGGTTGGAGGAACTTTTACCTGTGTTTTCGGGGCTGTGTTGATGGTTTTGTATCGTGGTCCAGCGTTGATTGGGGATTCAGAAACGGACTTTGTATCACATAGTGAAATAAGTGCCAAAGGTCAACCAGAGCCTTCTGGATGGTTAATTGGTGGTTTGATGGATCTCGGATTAGACCATTTTCATCTCGGGGTTTTGTGCTTCATAGGGAACTGCATGTGCATGGCTGCTTTTCTAGCCATTCAGGTTCATATCTTTTGATTTTTTTCAATTGATTGTTGATTACTGGGAGCATTATGCAAAAGAAAAAAAATGGTAGTGTTCATTGTCATTTCTTATCGCTATTACTTATGTGATGTGATGTGATGCCCTGCAATTTGAGCAGCTCCTTCCAAAAGTTGCTCACAAAATTAGGATTTTAATCACTTATAAGTTGAGCAATCAAGTGATGAAATCCATTGACACCTACTCCCATATTAACTTGTGTATGTTCCGTGGCTGTAAAAGACAACCTGTAGATATTGCCAAGTATTTCTTCCTTTGACCAACATGGCATTCCTCAATGAAATTCCGAACCATCCTCTTCGTTCCTATCCAATACAAGTTGTCAGCAGTCCTCCTATAGGTTCTGTAGAAACCTGTTGTAAATGGGAAAGATATTTTAGGGAGTATATTTCAGGGTCATAGACTTGTAGCCATCTCGTGATATCTTTGTAAATATTTTCGATTTCGTCCAAAATGCTTGCACAAGTGATAGGTTGCAAATCGTTGTGGCAACTTTGGAATAAACTTCATGCCTACTTTCATTCTCATACAAATGCTTGAGCAGGTCAGTTATGCACTGAACTTCGTACTATTACTTTGGAAAACAATTTAATTTCTGGATTTCTTCTTCGGATTCAATCTCTTGTTGATGCTCTTATCACGGTGGCTGTACTGGTTATCATCTTGATCGAACTGGTGGCAGAGGTCTCTCCAGCATCCAATGCCAAGTGTGTCATAAATATGGTCATATTGCTTCAGTGTGTTATCATTTATTTGCGGGGAATTATATTTCAAGGTATAGCACTTGATACTGCTACAACATGGTTGTCATCTCAATTGCATGTGTATCCATTTTCATTGTATTTTTCTCCTGCTCCAAGTATGCCACAATATCATCTTCAATCTATGACATGGATCAAGCAACCATCACCTGTGCCTTCTCAAGCACCTCAAGCCATGCTAACTAGTGCTGCTTCCCTTCCACAGGCACACTGGTTTCCTGATTCTAGTGCCTCTCACCATGTTACCAATGTTTCATAAAACATACAGCATCACACTCCTGTTGAAGGACCAAATCAGGTGTTAATAGGGAATGGCAGGGCTTTGACATTCATTCTTCAGGTGCTGCAAATTTTGTATCACCTATTAATCCGAAAATCTCTTTTGTTCTAAATAATTTACTTTATGTACCTCAAAAAACCAAAAATTTGTTGAGTGTCAATTAGTTTGCCAAAGATAATTCTGTATATTTTGAGTTTTATTCTCATTTTTGTTTGGTGAAATCACAGGGTTCTGATGAAGTTCTTCTTCATGGTACTGTCGGTGCTGATGATTTGTACCAGTTTACATTTTTGTATGTTGTTCCTACATCTGTAGCATCTTCTATTAGTAGTCCTAAGAGTTTTACTCAGAATAATGTTTCTGTTAATGTTGTTTCTAGTGTATCTGCTCCCTTTGCCATTTGGCACTCCAAACTAGGACATCCTAGTGCTGATGTACAACACATTATATTCAATAGATGTACTTTTTTAATAAAAATTTTTTGGATTTTTGTACATCTTGTTATAATCATCCTCTTGAACTCATTTACAGTGACCTGAGGGAACTAGCACCTTTTGTAAATAAAGTTTGTCAGTTTATGTCTCAACCTTTAGAACCCCATTAGACAGCAGTCAAGAGAATATTAAGGTACCTAAAGGGGACCATCTCCTAGGGGCGTCATTTACAGCTTGCAACTATGTCTCCTATTTCTCTTCATATTGTGATGTTGATAGGGCATGTGATCCAAATGATATAAGATCTACATCTGGTGTTGCTTCTTTTCTTGGTTCTAACCTTGTTTCTTGGTGGTTCAAGAAACAAACTGTTGTTGCTAGATCAAGAACAGAAGCAAAGTATCTAAGTTTGGCTCTTGCAACAACCGAAACATCCTGGATTCAGTCTTTATTATCCTAGTTGCAAGTATGTCGTACCATTCCAGTTATCTGTTGTGACAACATGAGCACGGTTGCTCATTCATAATCTCATTCTTCATGCTCAAACAAAACATATGGAGTTAGATCTTTTCTTCATTTGAGAAGGGGTTATCAACAAACAGTTACAAGTTGTTCATGTTCTTGGATCTGATCAGGCTGCTCACACTTTAACCAAAGCACTTTATCCTACTCAGTCTCTTGCTCTAAGGGACAAGCTTAGAGTGGTTGATTCTATGGAATCTTCCCCTCTTTCGCTTGTAGGGGGGTATTAGAGTAGACTTTTACTTTGTATTTTTTCATTATGTTGTTATTAGTTGTTACAGTTGTAACTTGTATTGTACGTTTTAGTTCTTATAGCTATAGCTTGTTTTGTTAGTTTCACCACTTTCTGGAGTGGCTATATATATAGCTTGCTCCTTTATGTTGTACGATACAATTACATTTTTACAATTTCAAAATATACAAAGACATTCAGAATTCTCTCTCTCTCTCTCAAAACTTAATAGGCTTTATAAAGCCTTGGGCTCTCCAACTATAATGGCCACTTTTGTAGTATGATTCTCCCAAGGTTCTTATCAATCGGTATCAAAGCCTTTAAGCTTGTCTCTTATCTGTAGACAAGCGACATAAGTGGTGGTGCTGACACTGTAGTGTTCACCTAGGATTGGTACACAACCAGGATGTGGAGCATGGTGGGATGTTAGAACCCATTGCAAGGTATTGGAGTTGAGTTCTACATTGGATGTCTGAGTTTCTAGTATAGGGTTAGGGTTTATAAGGCCTTGAGTTCTTTGACTACAATTGCTAGCTTTTGTGATATGGTTGTCCAAGGTTCTTATGAATACTTTGTCAACTTTCCCTTATGAATTTTATGGTTTGAGACCTTTCTCCCTTTACTGTTAGCTAGTTCCCCAAACACATGGCCGTGCATTTTCCCATCTACATCCTCCTCCGCCTCCATTTCTACTACCATATTCCCTCTAACTTCTTCCTTGTTTTCTACTTCCATATTGATGGAAAACTTGTTGAAGAACCGGATTGATGTTGGTTTCTTCTCCAAGCTCCTCCCTAGATCTTTGGCTCCTTGAATCTCCTTAAGCTTTTCCAAAGCCTCCAATGGAAGATGAGACTTCGGATTTCACCTAGGAAGGTTAAGAACACTCTTCAAGAGGTGTCACTCCTTGGGAGAAGATTAACCACTTCAATTCTCACCACACTCTTGTATGAAGAGGATAAGAGAATTGGATGAATATCAAAGAGGTTTAAGACTTTTGGAAGAGAGAATTTCAAAAGTAATTTCGGCAATCTCTCAAATATATCATCAAAAGTGTTTACAAAATGAAAGAAAAGGCTTATATAGAGAGGTGACTTATGGTGCAAGCTAGTCTAACCATATTTTAAGGAGAACTATGGTTAGCCTTCTTACACTTAAGCTAGCTGTCCTAGTTACTTGGGAGCTTATGGAACAAGCTAAGCTTCGAAGCATGTGGAGCAAGCCAAGCTAGAAGCTTGTACCACAAGCTAACCAAGTGTGTGGGAGAAGCTAGAAGAGTTAGGCGGCCAAACTCGTATTCCTTCACTTAATCCAATCCAAAAATGTTGGAATTGGTTTAGTTAGGTTCACCTAATGAGGGTGAAACCTAGCTAAATCAATTCCTTGGATTAAATGGAGCAAAACAAACCCAATATGTAAAAATTAATCTAGGCCTACTACAGGCCTAATTGCTAGCTTCACCTACACACTTTACTATATGTCACCCCACTTCTACTACTAAAAATATGAAAATCAATGACCCTTAATACATACCCTTAAATCCTAAAGGGATGACCTATAAGAAAAGGAAAAGGTACCTTACAAGTACAAAGGCAAAATACACATATACAAGTATCTATTATAAATACAAGGTACAAGAACTCAAATTATACAAGATATGTACAATAGAGACTATGAGACTAAAAAGAGGAATCATATTCAATGCTCATATTAAGCATAAGTCTAAGAAACACCTCCTCTGTAGAAGTCTTCTCTAGCCTCCTAACTATGGACCTAGTTAAAGGTCCAATGGTCTTCAAGTTTGAACCCTCCTATGGATCAACCTTCACCCTTCTTGGTTTTACCTCTTCCAAAGGGATCTTTGAAGATTAGATTTCCATCACATAGTATACCGTTTAGCTTCTTTTTTTTTTTTTTTTTTGTTTTCTACTGCAGTAGTATGCTTTGCAGCCTCACCCACCTTTTGTAGTTTTCCCTCCAGCCTCTTCACCTTAATCTCATGAACACCACAATATTCAATTGTTTATTTCAGCACTGGTAGAGGGGGTGAATAATGTACGTAATAGAGTGCAAAATGAGAGAAACTAAAATTGTAAAAGCCAAAATAAAAATAAGTAGTGCAGCAATTTGGAGACCATTGTTTCTCTCTTTTAACAAGGTTGATTGTCATTTTCTGTATGAATAGAATTGACTAAAACTTCTTATTACTATGTATGTGCAAATTGGAGAACTACTTGTACTACTTGCAGACATCACCAAATTACTCAATAAGAATGGAATAGACTATGTTTATGTTAGGTGCTTGGTAGTATTAGATTTTTGTTACCACTTCTTAGTAATTGTTAATCAGGGATTTAGTTAGTCAATTGGAAAGAGATTAGACGAATTAAGTTGTGTTGCCTATAAATAAGAATACGGGTTGAGAGGGAGAGATATCTTACCATTTCATGAGAGAATTAGGGCATTTGGTCATTGGGAGGTGCTAACCCTTGAAGTTCTACAAGTTAGGCATTGTATAGGAGAGAAATTTCTCATTCTCTCTAATAAAGTAGAAAGAGAGGATTTTATTAATTTGTTTCACACAAATTACATTCATCCCTACCCTATTATAGAGATACATTTGTCCATAAAATAGGTAACTATGAATATAAACAAAATTAAAAGAAATAATGAAAGATTATAAAATAATATCAAATCTCCCAAGGTACTTTTATTTACAAAACTCCTCAAGT